ACTCCCAAAAGCCAAGTCAACCAAGTAATATAAACAGTTACAATCCAAAGGCAGAGAGTCAGCCACGTGTAAGGCTGAAAACATTGAATCATTGTGGCCACAACCCATTACACTTAATATCCCAATCAGCACAGACGGCCCAACAGAATTGTATAGTGAGGCAGCCCATTTAGTTTAAAAATCTCCACCTTACTGAATTATACTATGGCTCACTTAATAGATCTAGAATGGCTGTACTTACGCTTCATTTACTCAAAAACCCTGCAAAAGAAAAATAGATATTAGTTCAATTTTATTCAAATAGTATTACTTGAAGTCCTAATTATCACATCAAGTGATATTCAAAATCTTCAAGCAATTTCTAAATTTAGTTAGAGGTTATACCTTTGTCTCCATGTCTAAAGGATTGTGTTATGTTGGAATTTTAACCAAACTAATCAGACCTTTTTCAATCATATTTCTTACAAAATGAAATTTAATATCTATATGTTTCGTTCTATCATGATAAATAGGGTTTTTACTAAGATGAATGGCACTTGGTTGTTATCAGTATATATATCAACAGAATCATCAATAAAACCAATTTCATTTAACAGGCCTTTCAGCCACATACATTCTTTCACAGCATTACATGCAGCAATGTATTCAGCTTCAATTGAGGATAAAGCAACTAATTTTTGTAGTTGTGACTTCCAACTAATACAACCATCACACAAAGTCACTACACCAAAAAATACCTTTTGAAGCGGTCAAAAAACGCTGCTAAAAGTCTTTTGCAGCGTTTTAGTGTGTATTGCGAGGGTCAGTGTTACCATTGAGAGAAGAGATACGGCAACATTTAAAAAACGTTGCAGAAGGTGCCCTTTCGTTTGCCGTATTTTCATCCCAGTTTTGGGAACATTTTACAAACGTTGTCGTTGGTATTTTTAATATTTTTTAAATTAATTTGCATTTTTATATATATGCCTTCCTATGCTGCCAAAATAAATATCCAATATATAAAGAGAAGTGCCAAAGACATCAAAATAAATATAAAATATCATGATTAAAATGGGAAAACAAATTGCATTGAAATTAAACCATGCTAGCATATACATTG